CATTTATTACAAACATAAAACAATTTAGTTTGTAATTGTGACAATAAAGATTAATCAAATTACTTAGATCAACAGCTCAAAATAAACATACCTGCAAACCATGGAATAGACACACAGATCCACAGTTTAGCCACAGTACAGTGAGATGTTGCTCTACAAAGGAAAGTTTCACATCAGTGACGTAAATGCCACATGCACTCCACGACGTTAGCAGCTAACTAATTAGCTGGAAAACGGCTCACTCAGTTTATGTACAAACAAACATTCATTATTTACACTGTTACATCGGCAGGCCACATCATGTAGACAGCCAGTCACCCTCTGTGAGGCAGAGTCAGACTCACATTTGTGCAGCGTTGCGTTCACAATACGTATAAAAAAAAATCCTCAGGCCAGCAGGCCACTTAACAGGCCAGGCCATCGGGAAACCTCCCGGTCCTCCGGATGGCCAGTCCGGGCCGTCATGACGTTTCCGCCGGCGGCCGAGTACCGGCATTTTACTGAGTACCGGCACCTTGCCAGTACTCAGTAAGAAGTGCGGGTACCACATGGGTAAAAATCAGAAGTGCCGGTACTGCGTACCGGTAAGTACCGGTGTCGGTACCATATGTGTTCGGGGTACCATATGTGTTCGGGGTCCGTCTCTTACCAATGACGTCACGCATTGTGATTGGCTGTACGGTAATTTACCCAGGGGTGCTCGGGGGCAAATCACATCTACAGATCAAGACGAAGCGAATGGAAGTACTCCCATACTCCTAGCGTGTGAAAATGTTTGTGAAAAACGTGTGCAAAGTCTCCGAAAACGGAGCAGTGGCTGTACGGCATTGGCTGTACGGCAACTCAAGAGGACCATCATACACGGTCAAATTCCAAACATTTGAACATAGCCTACACTTCATTCTTTACTTTGTCCGTTATTATATGTAGAAGATATTACTTTTTTCTCCGTCATGTTGTTTCCATAGCAACAACTTCAAACAGGAAGTTAACCTAAATTACATTTAAGACACTGCAACGAAAGTAACAAAAACAATGTAAAATCCTTTTCCGTTTCACAGAACACAAATTGGGTTATTTAAATAATTATGTTTACACTGTCGATTGTTATTTTTGGGGGACACACGACACATCAAATCACATCTACAGACGAAGACGAAGACGAATGGAAGTACTCCCATACTCCTAGCGTGTGAAAATGTTTGTGAAAAACGTGTGCTAAGTCTCCGAAAACGGAGCAGTGGCTGCGATGCTAGCTTTGCGGCTAGCGGTTAGCATTTTCAATGGAAATATACATCGAAACATCATGTTTCAGTAAAAACAAGGCGCCACTGATCATCTACTCTCATGCCACTTTCACACCAGCGCTTTTTCAGCTCCGGCTCGGAGCTGAAGCCTGAAAAGCGCCGGTTTTTCCTGTTCACACCGCAGCGGCGCCGGCTCTTAGCTCCGGAATCCCGTTCACTTCCAGCTCCAAAAAATTGTCGGTCTAGAGGCAAGAGCTTCGGAGCTAAGAGGTGGCGTCGCTTACGTCTCTCTTACGTCGAGGCGTGCAGGAAACTAAACCCACCTCCCCTGAACATGGGTCGACTGTCATGCCTGCCTACAAGCAGTAGTGCTTATACACACACTTTATAAAGTCAGGCAACACTAACCAGGCTTCGTATGATTCTGTTTATTTGTACCTTACTTTGACCATCCGTTCACTGTTATTGATCATTGTGGAGAGAGGCAGACGTGTTGTTTTGTATTATAGCAGCTATCGGATGGAATCAATACGTGGGCTGCACAGGTTGTCGTGTCCGACTATCACAAGTAGAATCATAATAAAAATACGCCGGTAAAATGTGCCTGTAGAAAACGGTTTATGCCACAATAGGATAGCAATAGCAAGTAGTCAGTTTAGCTTCGGTTGCTATGCTAACATCACCCATTTTATACCAGAGAAACTTTCATAACAGCGTTGTGATACCAAACAGCGTCAATTCAGACTGAGACACATTCACTTAGGCTATGGGGAACTGGGGATATGTATCAGCTGCTTGTGTGAGTCGGACAGTGAATACTTTAGAGCGGCCGCTGCAGTGTGAGCTAACCGGGAGCTAACGGAGGAGAATAAACTCCCGTGGAAGAGCAGCCAACACTGGGGTCGGTAAATGCCACAGAAACAAATTAATAAACAATGAACCACGGCACTCTGGAGCAAAGTATAAGGTTGGAGAAGTCGTTATTCAATTTATTCTGGCTTCGTGTGATTAAAAGCAACACGATCATCGACCCGACGCAGTTCCCCGTTGTTGTGAGCGCTGTAATGCCGTTGGGGAGCAAATCAGCGATGTAAACGGTGACGTCATGACGCAGCAGCGGCAGCACCAGTCGGGTGCTGGGCGGTGTGAACAGAGCGGGAGCAGAAAAGGGAAACCGGAGCTGAACCAGAAAAGCTCTAGCTCGGAGATAGAAAGGGAAAAGCGCTGGTGTGAAAGCCGCATCTGAGACGATTCCAGGGATGCCTGACTTGAGTTTCTAGCACCAGGGAAAGTGGACAAAAGTGCCCCAGATCAGCCTCTTAATTTAACCAGGGCCTAGTGCTTGGCTTTGGGCATGACAATTGAGTATTTTATTACATATCTCAACTTTGGAGAGGAGTTGGGGGACAAACGACACATCAAATCACATCTCCACATCAAGCCGAAGCTAATTAGAATATTCTTGACTGCCTAGCCTTAGGCAATCACAATGCGTGACGTCATTGACGTCATGACGTCATTGGTAAGAGACGGACCCCGAACACATATGGTACCCCGAACACATATGGTACCGACACCGGCCCAATTCAAGCACTGCTCAAGAGGCATTTTGTTCAATTATTGTTGCTTAATTATTTGTCATTTTTCAAGCTACGAAATGTTTTCCTACGTTTGTCATGATAAATGATGTCTCAGGAATGTAGGGTTTGGGAATTATGGCAGTTTAAAAAAAATATATGAAGGCAATTCTCAAGATTTCCTACCCTCTAGCTGTGACATCACGCACTCTAGTTAATGTTAAAATCTGAAGAAAACCTCTTTAACAAGGTCTGAACAATGTTTAATATCTCTAAAAGTAAGAATCAGATTTAAAAGTTGTTTTACACGAATAATGTCAGAAAGATGTGTAACATTTTAAAGTTGGAATGAGGTTTCTGAGTGAAAGTATGAATGAACAGTTAACAGTTGAAGTCGCATGAAGATTTGTTGAAGTCTGAAGAATCTCTCCATTGACTTCAATGGTTAAAAATGTGATGTATTATGGGATGTATCTCTCGGAATTATGAAAGTTATGAATGAGAAAAGTAATAGCCTGCGATTCCCGACCGAGCTGAACGTTTTGATGTTTGAACCAGAGGTTTGAACGGAGTTTCTGCGATGTTCAATGTGGTAGGAGAAGAGGGCCAAAATAAGTCGGCGGAATAATGAACTTTTTGTGCGTAGAATAACAGATAGTTGGAATGCTGTTAACAGCATTCGCACTAAATTACGGTGTCCGACATTGTTTTAGCATAACTACACACCGACGCCACATTAAGTTTGGTGCATTCTGATTGGCGTAAACGTATAACAATCTTACTGTATTTACCTTTATTCTTAGCCAGCAGTTTAAGATGTGCCTCAACGTCGCCCGCTCTGGCCCCCGGAATGCATGTGACTGTGGAGGCTTCGGTCTCTAAATTCACGTATCTCAGAATAGAGCTACCAATAACCAGAGTTGACTTCTCAGCGGGTGTCTCGCTGAGTGGGGAATATCTGTTAGATACGGGAACGGGTTGGTGGGGACCTGCGGGTCTCGCTTTATGCCCCTTCTGAGCAGTCACCCCGTCTCCCTGCTGCTTGGGAATTGCCAGGGGACGGCTAGTAAGAGCTATCTCTTGCCGGTCTATACCGGCTAACATGGGTTTTACTGTAGCTGAGTTACTTTCTAAAATGCGGAGCCGGGCTTCTATGGCTATGATTCCCGCCTCCAACCTAGAAACTGTACTACATTTAACACATGTAGGCCTATCGGTACCAGTAAAGGACTGGGAGGTAGGGAAGTAGTAAGGGGGTAACCAAACATGAGACAGATAGAGCAGGAAATAGCACCCGAGGGTGGGGAAGGAGCCATGGCTAGCTATCAAGCTAAAGTAGCTACCGTTAGCAAACCCGAAAAGGAGTGTAAGCAACTGTGAAAACATGTATTTATTACATAAGACCAGGGTGAGAATGCCAAATGAAAAGAAAACTAAATGAAAAGTGTAGGGACAGGAAATTAATGAAAATGTTGAATATGAGTTTTCTTTTATGTCAACTGCATTGATGGCATTAGGGTTGAGGTAGAAGTCTTGAATCCAATCTCTGTTCAGAGTCGGGTGTACTGACCCTTTAACTGATCCAGTCCAGTCAACTTGTGGCCCGTGACATGTTTTATGAATTCTCCGGCCGAAGGTCCAAATAAACCGTCAGTGTTTTCCATCAAAGCTCCAGCTCTCCTCGTGTCTCTCTGAGTCCTGTTTCAATTGCTTCAGAAGTTTCCCCCACAGTTACTGTTGTTACATTAGTGTATGGAACACAAGTAGGAGTTTTGAATACTGAGTGATGATTATTGTCTTGCTAAATTTAAGCCTGCAAAGCACAGCAAAGGCAGAGGTCAAGTGTATTGCATTAATATTATGGGTAAACTTGGAAAATTATTCGTAATAAATGCGATCTATCCAACTCTCCTGAACGTTATTTCTCAGAAAGCTTCCCCAAACAGCCCACCCACCCCACTACCCCTCAATACACAAATAAACACACATACCCAAACACAATTATGACTATTTCATACACATCTATAAAAGGATATAAAGTTGAGGTGATGACGTGTTGGACAAACACGGCTCTAAACTGGCCTAACACTACAGACAGGTAATAATAAATAAAACAGTGTAGAGTGCTGAGAGTTAAAGTTGTGTTTAATGACTGACTGATGACTTGTGTTCACAGGTGGCGTGTAACAGGCGGTTAGCAGCTCAGCCCCCTTCAGCCTGTGTGCTGGAGGTCAGTGTGAGGGGGGTGAAGATCAGTGTCCAGGACCAGTGTCACTCTGCTCATAGGGTACGTGCACTACTCTATCTACATATCTTCACGTTCACACTTCTTCTAATCCAGCAATTGCAAGCTACTCAAAAAATAAATGTGTATCCAGTGTAAGTATGTACTTATTTAAGAAGGGACAATGCACATGAATGAACATGAGCACTTGAGTCCATCAGGTATGTGCCATATTTAGCCATAAAGGCTCATTTTCATCTGCAATCCCTTTAAGGTTGATGGCATTAAAGGGAAACATAGGGGAGCAAAGAAAGAAAACACAAGAGCTCAACACAAAGGCGCATTTGAAGCACAATTACAGCATATTATAAAACACACATGCACAAGTGAATGCACATGAATACAAACCTATGCGTAACACACAACACACACAAAAGCACATACATAAAAACAGATAAATGCTAATAGGCACAGAGAATTAGAAAAATATTTATATAACCCTTACTCCAGTTTATGACAGCATGTCCACTGTTTTACAGATTTGGAGAAAGAGTTGAGCGATTTTATGTTCCTTAGTTTTGTCAGTAGTGTTTTGCTTGATGAGTTTTCATTTTGTTTAATGAATCCGTTAAGCGTACAGTAGGTTGGGTAGACCATGAGACATTTTAAACACAAGTAAAATACCTGCACCATGGTGAGATATCTGCCACTCAGTGGAAATCTTGCAGTTAAATCATTAAAATGTGACATTTCTCTGTGTGTCTGTTTTTGTCAGGGAGACCAGTGTTTCCATTTCTTCCAGTTGAAGAACATCTCATTCTGTGGCTGTCATCCAAAACACAGCAAGTGAGTCTCACTACTTCATCTAGCACACTTGCATGACAAATGCATTAAACTAACATTAAAGTGTCTCTATTCTCACACTGTGTTAAGTGTCATCACATTTACATGACAATAATATACTGCTCTGTGTACTACAGCCTCCGTGTATGAATAAGTCATGCTGATTGTTGCCCGCAGGTATTTTGGTCTCATCACCAAACACCCTGACCAGCAGCGCTTCGCCTGTCATGTGATGGTTGCAGAGACAACACTACATCCTCTAGCTGAGTCTGTAGGGTAAGATATATTTTTATTCTATTCTTTGTTGTTCATTTTATACATATTTTGTGACTTTTACTATTGGATATCTGCTCAGTGGTGGAAAGTAACTAAATACAATTACTCAAGTACTCCTGAGGGAACCTTACGTTTTGGGGTATTTCTTTACTGTGCAACATTGAAACACTGCCTGTTTCTTAAGGCTTCATTAACAATACCTTTAGCAACAGAAAACTGCACTCATGATTCAAAGATTTAAAAATGAAATACTGTAGAGTAGAATAAATAATGTATCTCTACAGCTTGCAACATAAACCTTCTGTATACGTTAATATCCTAAGGGTTAGATTGAGCAGCCTGCTCACCTTAAAATTACATTCCCAATTACGCTTTGACGGATGTCATTTGTCCTGTATGTTTATGACGTATCAAAAAATAAGTTTGAAATCATATTTCACAAAGGTCTGCTCGTGTTTGTGGGCCGGATGACATGAGGGGGAGGAATTTCCATGAAATACTTGTGACCAGTTGGTTTGTCACTTAGCATCTTAATAGCTTATCCGCAGTTTACGAAGCAGGTATAAGAGTAATCAGTATAAACATTAACTTAAAATAATCTACCTGCTGCTGGAACCCATGGATGGAACCAGGGACCTTTAGATCTTCAGTCTAACACTCTCCCAACTGAGCTATTTCGGCACAAAAGACCACGATTTGGTGGACGACAGGCGCAAAAACTGAGCAACATCTCATACAAATATTACTTACGCTTTAATACTAGGTAGCAGTTGGGAATTCACTTATCCACATTTTACAAAGCAGGTGTAAGAGAAATCTATATGTACAACTTAGAAAGGCCCCAAATCAGACTGCTACGAGTGGGCAGATCCAACCATCAAGCACACCGAGGAGTCATCTAGAATGACCATCAACCAACTCACAACCTGGGAGTCACACACCTTAAAGTAAATGATTTCAAAACATTTGAAGACACTGTGTTAAGTGTCATTACATTGTCAACTCCATTTAATTTAGTCTGGCAACTTGTTCAATGTATCCCTTTCTGTACCAAAGGGACACTATCTTCCTTTGATACACAAACTTGACCTGTATCCTAAACAGTGTAGTTAATAATAGTGAGGTACACAAATATATGCTATCATCTGTCCTGATTCAAAAAAGCTATTGTCATTTCATGTACTAATGATCTCCTCTGCTGTCCCACAGGAGGGCCTTCCAGCAGTATTACAGGGACAACATTGGCTACTCCTGTCCAACTGAAGACATCTTTATTGAATAACCCCTCTCCCCCATCCACACCATGTCCTGAATACTCACTACTGTATGTGCACGTAAGCCTGGTCTTACACAGCGACCACTGATGTCTCTTCTTCAGAGTGCTTGCATGGGGGGTTTCTTTTCTTACCTGCATCCTGTAGTACAGAAATAGTTTTATTTTCTTGATCCATGTCATAATATACATTCCTCTATGGATGGTTAGGATCACATGACATGTTCCATACACTGACCAGAAATGTTTTCCAAAACCTAACCAAATACTACGGTGGCCCTGAAGTGCAAGTCAAAACAACATTTCACAAAACGCTACAGCATTTGAACTTTTACGGAAAGGGTATTCCTTTAGGGAGAACACTTCTTGTTCGTGATTGGACAGAGCCAACCAGCGAAGCACTGCTGTGATTGGTTGTTTTTGCTGCCAGTCAAGAAATGAAGCTTCGTGATTGGTCCGCACCCGACAGCGCCAGTATAGAGAGGCGAAGTCCCTCCCCTTCCGGTTGAGCTCCATGGGACCTTATTTCCGAAAAGTTATGCATTGAAGTCAATGGAGAGAGAAAGATTATCTTTCGATCCCGTTTGAATTGTGCCACGAATTACACATATGATGTTTATCAATTTGAAAGATAATTTTACAAGTCAAAAAAATAAAAACACTTTTTTTGTGTGAAACCGCTCAATGAACTACATCTCCCGTCTCGTACCACACACCAAGACGGCCGTCACGTTGGCATATTTCACTTCTTTCTTTCAGAATGAGGCGGAAAGTATTAAAAGAGGTGAAAATCACTACAAGTCTGGGCATGTTGAGAGCTGTACATACACACAAGGGGAGTTAGTCGGGACCGAGATTCTGGGATTTGTAGTCTTTCTAGTTGCATATTTTTCATAGTCTTATATTTCAACAGTTTTACGACAAACTGTGACTTTTTTGACATGGAAATTATTATTTAAGATTGACAAATATCATATGTGTAATTCGTGGTACAATTCAAACGGGATCGAAAGATAATCTTTCTCTCCCCATTGACTTCAATACATAATTTTTTCCGAAATAAGGTCCCATGAGTCCCACCGGAAGGGGAGGGACTTCGCCTCTCTATTTGGTTTGGTACTATTCAGCTGTTTCTGCACTCATTTTAAACTGAGTTGGAAAGAATGGAAGAAGAGATGGAAATCTTAAGGGAATATTTTAACAATGGATATTCATATGATGTTATCCTCGACATGCTGTCATCCCATCACCACAAAACATCAGCCGTTAGCTGCTAGCACACAGAGCTCACAGCTCCTCATATCTGTTCAGAAACTGGACAAAACTTAAACATGAACAAACCACAGACTCTCTGTGTCTTGGTGAATACAGTCGCTGCTTTATTTATGTCTTTAGGACGTTGTTGTGAGTGTGGACGGAGCAGCTACAGGTTAGTTTAGCCTGATCGATCCAATCTCCATTCAGAAAATACACATTTTAAAAGTGTTTTCGCCTGCCTTCTTGTCTGCACACTTGTCAAAGCATTAATTCATGGTTTTTACTAAACGGTATTAGTAGGCTATGTTGTTACTTCGGCATCATTTTGAAACGTGTATTACAATTAAATCACGGTAAAATATGTTCATTTAGTTGTAGTTGATATATCAAAGTATTTACATGGAGATAAGCCCCGAATATTCGCATCGCTCTAATCGCTCGAGTCTCACAGCGGTTGTCAGCTGTGTTTACTCCTGTCATTCAAACAAGACGCGCTGGAGAGGGGGCGGGGCTTATATCCATGCAAATACTTTGGTAGATACTAACTACAACAAAATGAACATATTTGACCGTGATTTAATTGTATTACAAGTTTCAAAATGATGCCGAAGCAACTACATACTGATACTGGTTAGTAAAAAACATGAATTAATGCTTTGACAAGTGTGCAGGCAAGACGGCAGGCGAAAAACCTTTTAAAATGCGTGTTTTCTGAATGGAGATCGGATCGATCAGGCTAAACTAACCTGTAGCTGCTCCGTCCAAACTCACAACAACGTCATACAGACATAAATAAAGCAGCGTCTGTAATCGCCATGACACAGACAGTCTGTGTTTTGTTCATGTTTAACTTTTGTCCAGTTTCTGAACAGATATGAGGAGCAGTGAGCTCTGTGCGCTAACAGCTAACGGCTGATGTTTTGGGACATGTCGCGCTGTCAGGTGCTGACCAATCACAAAGCGTCATTTCTTGACTGGCAGCAAAAACTACCAATCACAGCAGTGCTTCTCTGGCTGGCTCTGTCCAATCACAACAAGAAGTGTTCTCCTAAAGGAATACCCTTTCCGTAAAAGTTCAAATGTTGAAGTGTTTTGTGAAATGCTGTGGTGTTTTCTGAAATGTTGAAGTGTTTTCTGAAATGCTGTAGTGTTTTGTGAAATGTCGTTGTGTTTTATGAAATGCTGTAGCATTTTGTGAAATGTTGAAGTGTTTTCTGAAATGCTGCAGTGTTTTGTGAAATGTTGTTTTGACTTGCACTTCAGGGCCACCGTAAATACAAATATCTGAAATGTATATATGTTATGCATTAAAATGACGTGTATGCTACTACAGGTAGATATTAGATGTAAGAGCAGATATAAAACCTTTTGTGCTGTGGAGTTAATTTAATGACAGAAGGTTTGTATGATACATTTTTGAACTTGAAACCAGTGCTCAAATGAATAATCCTTTTATTGGAACAACATAATGAATGCACAACATATCTGTATCTGTAGTGTAAGGTTTAATGTATGTACATATGCTAAACATCCTCAAAGCCTATTCAAACATCTAAAAAAAAGTAGCTACTTAAATAAATAAAAACTCATGTGATTCATGTGGGCTTGAGTTTGAATTCAGTGTTGAATTGTGTCCAACCAGATTCAGACAAACATTTGCACTTTACAGATGTGGCTCCATGGATTGTCCTTGAATCAAGCCAAATGAGCAATAAGAGAATTAGAGAAAAAGCAAGACTGTGTGTTTATGAAGAGAGGGTAAATGTTCTGTCTTTAAATTAGCATCATGCTTTACTCCACAGTTATGAAGGGCTTCTTATTAGCAACAATCCCCCCTTCAGTTTAAAAAGCGTTGGAACATACAAAGAACAAAGGACCTGCTTGTTTTTTTGCAAAATATATTATAATATATCAACGAATAATTCTGTATCTTGTAACCCCTTGACTTGACAATCTACTGTTGAATACTGTTGGAGGCGCCTCATGTATCTCTTTACTGCTTTATGTTTATTTTCCTTCAAATGTGGTGCCAACCACAATCCCTCTATGCAGGGTTTCTCTGGTTGACCAATGAAATATGTTCTTCCTTAAACTCTGTGTAATAACAAGGCCCAAATGATTCTGTGCAATTTAGTATGTGTACAAAGATCAGAGTGTTGGGGGGTGGATCACTGTGCCGTCATGTCCATGTCTTTGCACATTACTTTCAGTTCAGACTTCTTTTGCATTGCCTGCTCAAATCTAGGACCAAATATGGGGTATAATAACAAGAAAGATTCCTTTCCAACAGTTACTCTTTAGTTTTCAGCCGTTTGAAGACTAGCTCCAGACTTATATCTGCGTCAATGAACATTTGTTTTGAAAGCATTGGATCAAAAGACAATGTGCAATTTATAAAAGGAACGTTCTTAGTGGTGAACAATGCGTTTACCTCAGCTCTATGGGGATTTTAAGTCTCTTTCCGCTCATTGCTTTGCTTTTCAAGCAAACTACACTCCCATCAAACTTTTTTCCAGAAGCAACCGGTAGCTTTTTTCTGCTAAAATGATTTGATAAACCCTCTGTACATTGCAGACCAAAAATGAACCGGCAGAAAGACATGGTAGACGTGTAAGGAGACTAATATTTGCTAACCTGCTAGCCACGTAACCTAAATGAAATGAATGCAGCTTTAAGATCCAGGAAGTGAACCTTTGGACCAGCGAATCAGAATACATCTGTTCATGCAGTTGAATTATATATTATAAAAGGATTTGAGCGTGTAAAGGCAATGGAAATGAAGCCTGAAATGTTTTATGTTTGAAAAACAGTGCCTATTTTGTTCTGGTGAAGTGGTGATGACTGTCCTCTGTAATAACCGTTGACTTCAGATGTCTCCAATCACAGAATCTAAATGTATACAACATCCCCATCTCATTCAGAAGAATAGTCTTGTAGCTGGATATGACTTGGTACACCTAAGATGGCTGCCATGGAATGTTAAATAATGTAACTGGGACTCAAGAGAGCAGAGATTAGGGGAACCAGGGTTTGACTGACTATGGAGCTGATGCATCAAAGACAAAGTAATGTATCATTTTGAGAATGATGAGCTGGTATTTCTGTGGAGGATATTTAGTCCCATGATGTCTCTGCTTTTGTTGCATTGGAAAGATACAAATACAGGGCACGATTCTAAAAACGTGATTACTGATTAGGGTTGAATATTTGATGGAATAGAGCTTCGGACTGAACATGTTGGTATTGATTAACAAAACGTGCCATCTGACCCCTTATAGAGTGTACTATCCACCACATGTTAATTTCCATGCCCACCATATGAGGTGTGCCACAGGAAGTTGTTCTGATCCACCCGAAAGTGTCCTTTCTATATATTCCACGTTTGTGATATTAACACCAATGGGATCACCTGTACATGACTTATCATCAATATAGATATATCCTGTAAAGATAATGTATGTATGTATGTATGTATGTTTGTATATAAGTTATTATTGTATGCTGTTGGTTTGACTAAACCTGGGTGTAACGCCGCATGATATTGATGTTGTAAACTGAAGAGACACAGAAGATGCACAAACTGGTGATACTGATGGTGATCATTCTGTCAATAAATCACATTTACAAATCCACTTAGAATACATTTTCTTTTGGAAACAAAGGATCTTATATTTATAGAATATAGGTATATTTACCATATATTTATTTATGATTTTTAACTTGCTCGGATTTACAATTGGCTACTTTCCAACAACCCACTGCAATAAATTGGAAGGCCAAACTTGAGTCCTATTTTTAATGTGTAGTAAAGTATGAGTATACTCTGGTGTGATGGAGTCTAGAAAACTAGGAAAGACTTTAAAAAAGGATATAAAGGAATTTCAAGGATAAAATAATAGACACGTGTAATATGTATTCAAATGTTGAAATGCATTTTCATATTCATACAAGCAGACAAAAAAACCCTGAGATAAATATGGACAGTGTTCAGCAACCTATTTTGCCTAATTAGACTTCTATCAACCAATGAAATCAGTTATATGAATAAAGATCAAAGAATGAAAGCCAGCAAGCATCCGTGCAGTATTCTGGA